CACGTATTAAATCACGTCTGTGCTGCACCGAATCGCCGATTAATTTGTGATCACATGGCTACTTTAAACGGTTCCATTAAGCCTTTAGCCCAAAAGAGCTAACATTTACAAAGATAATGATAAATTCTCACATGTTCACGCCTCACTTCTTTACAGAGGATGATTCTATATTATATTAATGTTCCACTAAATTAATCTGAAGAGTTTTGAGCACTCTCTCCCGTCCAAAGACTATAGAATACCCTAATATCTTACATGGACTTTGTCCCGTCACACTACCTCCACACAAAGTGGAGCAGAAATTTCATCAAAACGATTTTTAAAAATAAAAATAGCCATTTACAGGGTTCGTACGGTCATGAAAAACCCAGAAAGCTTTGGAAAAGTCGTGGAAATGTATTTTACAAATCTCTATTTAATAGAATATATGTTTAATCACGTCCTGAATCTCGGTGCGGGATTGCGCATTTTTGGGTTTTACTCATTTTCGCAGGTTTTGCACTGTTTGGAAAATTCCCACAAACATTTATTTAATATACAATGTAGGTTAGATGAGTTAAAAAAATTCACACAGAATATCAGATTAAGTCAATCATTTGAAAACAGCGTGTGTGGTTCAACTGTACCGCGTGTTCTCGCTCTCACTCTCTCAAAATTGCCTCACATCAGCGCATCTCATCTGTACTACTGCATACAAGACTTTCGCTCAGCTGACAGGACTGTCACTTGCCTAATCGGGTCAGTGTTGCATCATCACAAAAGTTTATCACTTTTGTGCTCCAAACTAGTTTTCTGGGTGCTCACGGTCACATCCAAAGTGCGCACACATGAAGCCGCCTGACAAACACCTCAAGAAAAAGTTATTGTTTTCATTGTTTCTGACTCAAGTAACCTTGCATTTTAATAAATAATGGCTAGCCTAAAAATTACAGTAGCTGCTACTATTCAGGAACAAAAGAATATGATTTATAAAGTCATAGATATAGATTATATTTATATAATAATCCATATTAAATATGAAAAAGTTATTTAGTCAAGAGCAGATTTGAGCAGAGTGATTTTTTTTCTTTTGTTCTTTAACACAGACTGACAGACAGCAGGTATACTAAAAACTGCTGTCACTTTCATACTAAATGTTAATGTTAACAATGTTAATTAATTAGGCATATTGGTTATTGTTAATTAATGTTAACAACAAAAGACAAAATCACTCACTGCTCTTGACTGAATAACTTTTGTAACTTTAATTTTAAGAATTAATCTGTTGTTTAATTTACAGTGAATTTACTGTTTTTAATTTACAGTTTATTCCATTTCTGTAGCATTTCTGTTCTTGAATGTTTTCCACCAAAACTATTTCTAAAATGAAATTCAGGTTCTGAGTTTAATTTATAATACTGGCTAAGCAAATTACAATATACTTAACATTCTGGCATTCAGTTATGTGATTATGTAACTTACGTGCTCTGCATGTATAGTAACGGCTGGCACAGTTGCAGCCTGTGCTTATTAGAAAGCAAAAAAATAGCATTAATAATCATTAATTTTCCTTAGCATATGCTATGATAAATCTGAACATTTGTGTAAAGTAATGGAGCATTAGGTCATGAATATTGCCTTAAGAGTCATTGAAATTTATTGGTTGAACGAACCCTGCATTTAATGAGTGAATGCCTACGATATAGGAGTTAGACTATCACACAAACTAGAGTCCCGTTTTTCCGAATATCTGCACGTTGGCAAATGTACAATAAACAACAAGTTACTGAGTAACTTTCAGACACAAAATTCTGTTTTTCCCCATCAATGCGTCTCCGAGCAGCACAGTGTTTTGTTTCTCAGCATTACACGGACCAGTAAATGGTTCAAACAGGCTACAAGTACAGTCCTTTGCTAAGTTAAATGAATTAGCATTTTAAACAAATCGGTTGATTTAAGGATTCAACTCACTCATTAAGACAGTCACTTGCTGCCACCTACTGGCGGTTGTAGTTTCATATTTTAAAAAGTAGCTCATTATTTAATTTTTGCAATCATTCTACATTAAAATGTTGTATTTAAACTTAACATAACTTGTTTATAGTGATTTCATTTGATTGTTAATAGCCAACATGTTTTTTTTATTCAGATTGAATTTATTAATTAAGAATCTGACATAAAAGGACAAAGATATGACAATACATTTTCATAATAATACATCTCTTTGTTTTTTTCTGCTCAGTGTTATTTCAGGGTTTTGATCTCTCAACTGAGAGATCACATCCTGTTTATTGTATTATAGTGACTATTTAATATTACATCTAAACTTTGACTAGACATGTTGCCTATTAATTGTATACAGTATATGAACCTGAAAGCATATTTTAATTTTTGTGTATTTTGTGTTACTCCATAATAATGTTCTAGTTGAGGGCATTTGTAGTATAGGTATGGGGCCCAAACATAACCTCAAGCCCAGGGGCCCCCGTCCCCATAAGTCCTGCCCTGTTTAAATGCAATGTATCAGTTCAGAAATGAGATGAGTTTGTTTGAGATATTATTTCACTTCTGACATCCAACACAAACCAAAGTTCAGTAAAATAATCCATAATGCACATTTCAGATTATTACCATGAACCATGCAATCTCAGATATAATATAAAGGTGTTTTCACCAGTGCAGTGAAGCAAGATCTGTTGTCAGTTATTTCCTCAGCGTGGGCTTATTTTTGAAAGTCAGTTTCTGTGTAAACACATACCTAGAAATCATAAGTTACAAAAAAGTGTTTAAGCATTCCTACTGTTAGTTCACTTAACATGCTGACACAACTTGCAGGGCATGTTGTCTATACAGGCCTATAAGGCAAATTGGCTATAAATTGTCACAATAGAATCTGCTCATCTAATGCAATTTAAATCAATCAATAGATCTGCTCATCTAATGTAATTTAAAGAAACATTACTATGTTCTGCAAGTCAGTATTTTTTTTTCCTGAAGGCCTTCTTTCAGACAAGTTTTATACACATTGTTTTTATATCTGATAGTGATGACCCATATTAAGAAAGTAAAGCACAGTAGATGGCACCTAAGGTAATTTAAAAATATAATTCCTTAATACATAAAAATTTTAGTTTTGTGGCCTGTTTTGTCTCTCAAGGATCTGTGCTGTGCCTAAAATTTTTTAGGCAAGGGTTGGCGAACCTGTTTGGCATGATGAGCCAAAAAAAAAAAAACCTTATCACTGCAAAGAGCCACACAACAGATGTGCAAACAACAGTATCTCACAATAACTTATTCACCTAATTACATAACACAATAGATTTAATGGATTTAAATCAGATACCTCCTCATTGGGACACCTGACAGTCCTTGGTTTCCACAATCTTTTTTAGGTCTGGCTTGTATTCAGTTGTAGCTACTCGTAGTAACTCTTTCACATGTCAGGAAGAACAGAGCGATGCTTTGATTTCACTTGTTTCAGTGTCGAAAAAAGTGATTCACGGATGTAAGTTGACCCAAACATTTACAATAGTTTGAGTGCAGGTTGTTTGACATTGGGATATCTCTCAATCGGCACAATCTTCCAAAACTCCACGGTTCCTTCCCTCAGAACACTTTTAAGTCCGTCATCCTCAGAAAGTTCAATCATTTCAAGCTGAGATGCTGCTTCATCTTCCATTGAAGATACCATTCAGATAATGCAGCATGTCGACCAAAAAAGCCAAATCCAAAATCCACTGGGGATCATGTAGCTCAGGATAGTCTTTATGTTATTCTGCGAGGTACAGCTTCACCGGATTCAAAAGCTCAAAAAAAAAAAAAAAAACACAGAAAGCACATTAGCTCTTGAAAGCCATCTCACAGTGTAGTGAAGAAACAGATCAGATGGAAGATCTTCATCAAGTTCATCAATGAGATTTTTGAACTGTCTGTGATTGAGAGCATTTGTGCGTATACAATTGACAATTTCCAGCACAGGTTTCATGATGTGCTTTTTAGGCACCAAGTTCTCTTGATAATGTAGGGAAACGTCCAAAATTTCCGAAAAACGATTGTCAGCTTTACACAGCGCCCAACAAGGCTTTCTCAGATCCCAACATGGCTGGTGCTCCGTCCGTGGCTATTGCTGTTAGTTTTGATCACTGCAGATTTGCTTTCTCAACAACTGTCATCAGTGTCTCTTTCAGATCGATGCCACGAGTTCTGTCTTTCAGCGGCACAATGTCAAGCAGCTCTTCCTTAATTGTGCAGTCTTCTGACACAAACCGTACAAATATTGCCAATTGTGGCTTATCTAGAACATTGCAAGACTCATCCAACGCAATGCTGAAATACCAGCACTTCTGAAGATCTGATAATAAATGTGTTTCTACTGAGTGGTTAATGTCCGATATTCTCTATTCAACAGTGTGCCGTGACAGTTGAAGGTCCATTACTGAATGTTTCACATTTTCATTTTTGAGACATAGAATAGCAACAACATCACTGAGGCACTTTTTTTTTTTTAACAAATTCCCTTTCACGGAATGGGATTTTTGCACAAATGTTCCATTCTAGCTGATATGACCCTAATGTGACAGTAAATTTCCGAAATGCTTGGTAAATTTCCTAAAAAGCTGAGTTTGGTTTTCTGACTGACGTTTCTGGCATATCAAGCAGAATGGCTTTCTATTTCTTTCAACAACAAAAACTATACATTTATTCTGTGCTCATCTTCATTACGCATAGCTGTACCCTTCGCGGACTCTGCCAAGATGATACTAACGAACTTCACATCAATCAGGAGCCACAGGTTCACCCATTTTAGGCTTTAATGGCTTATCAAACTGCAATAATGAAAAAGATAAACCTTTGCAATTAATGAACTGTATAAAACAGATATGACAACTCTACCCAATCTTACATAAAAAAAAAAAAAACATTTTTAAGTGTAGTTTGATTCAACTTCCGCAAAAAAAAACATTATCAAACTATGACAAATGAACACGTAATAAACTACAATACCCATGATGCACCGCGCGTCGGTCGCACAGTGACGTCTTACATTTCGCGGGCAGAATCAAAAGCACGCAGTTTACTGTCCAGTCAGCAAGCAAAACTCGGCAGTAACACATCAGTAAGTGATGATGATAATAAGCTAAATACCGCATATAATGGTCGATGAAATACGCTGCATCATGACGACGTTTTAGTTGAAAACATCTTGTCCAAACTGAGTTTGCAGTCTACATAGATAGTTTAACGTTGGGCTGCAAGTGAAGGGAAATGCGCTGTTATTAATGTGTAACTTATTGTGAATGTGATAAGTGTTAAAAATCTTGCTTAATCGCTTAATAACTGTGTCGCGTTCGTTTAGCCAGTGGTTATGCAGAGAATCAGTCGTGTTAAAAATCTTGCTTAATCGCTTAATAACTGTGTCGCGTTCGTTTAGCCAGTGGTTATGCAGAGAATCAGTCGTGTTAAAAATCTTGCTTAATCGCTTAATAACTGTGTCGCGTTCGTTTAGCCAGTGGTTATGCAGAGAATCAGTCGTCTGAAGCGGGAGCTGCAGCTTCTCAGTGCTGAGCCTCCTCCAGGAGTCTCCTGCTGGCAGACTGAGGGACGGGTGGAAGAACTACAAGCCCGTCAGTCTGCCCTCATATGACATTTCACACTGACAATATATCAAAATAATTATTAAACACTGACAGCACTGCATTGCTCCTGTTTGATATAGAGATTGTTGGAGGTGCAAACACTCCCTATGAAGGAGGCGTGTTCACACTGGAAATCAACATACCTGAGAGGTGAGACTATTAAATGATCTCAACATCATTGTGCTGTTTTATTAAATTGTTTTTTGACATGCTTAAAGGAATAGTTTACTCAAAAATACATTTTCTGAAATCGTACTCCCACTCGGGTCATCCAAGATGTAGATGAGTTTGTTTGTTCATCAGAACAGATTTGGAAAAATGTAGCATTACATCACTTGATCACCTGCGGATCCTCTGCAGTGAATGGGTGCCGTCTAAACCAGGAGCGAGGCCATACATGTTTTAGTAGGTGGGCGTATAGTGTAGCGTATGAAAACTACACGTCAAATTGCCAACAGAAAATAGAAATATAGAGAAAATAGAAAAATAGAAAATAAAAAGTTAATATACAATACTTACAAATACTTCTACAATACTTCTGAACTGATAAACATTAATTTTAAAGGGGTCATATGATGTTGCTAAAAAGAACATTATTTTGTGTATTTGGTGTAATGAAATGTGTTTATGCGGTTTAAGGTTCAAAAAACACATTATGTTCCACATACTGTACATTAATGTTTCTCCTCTATGCCCCGCCTTTCTGAAACGCTAGCGACCAGCACGGATCAGCTCTAAGCATGACGAAGTGGATATCGTCCTCTTTTGGAAGACCAAACAAAGTAGTTTCGCTTTCACAACGAAACACACGGCGGGCTTGAGTGAGCGGCGGCCGGTGTGCTTGAGAATGGCGCGGCCGGCGGGCTTGCGGCAACCACATGTGAAGCGGATATCGTCCTCTTTTGGAAGACCAAACAAAGTAGTTTCACTTTCACAAAGAAGCACACAGCGCCTTCACAACATGGCGGCAGCGTCAACAATACTACAGCGAGAATAAAAGTTACGCCTTCTTTCTTTGCGTGAACATTTGGGCGGTGTTATGCAAATCTTCCCACATTGTGAGGTAGATATGTGGAAGAGTGTTTGAACGAGCCGTTTTAGGTAGGTGTGGCTGACTCTTAACTTTTATAAAGAATATCTCTTTGGATTTGAGACTTTAGTCTTTGCAACTTTACAGATCTTCTTTATGCACCAAAAGCTTGTAACACTCCAAAGAGAAAGGAAAAATTGAAATCGCATCATATGACCCCTTTAATTACAACATTTACTAATACATTATTAAAATTACAAGTTGTATCTGTTAACATTCGTACTAACAAAAATAACAACAAACATTTGTATTTTTATTGCCTAAGGTTAACAAAAATAATATAGTTACAAATGCATTGCTCATTGTTAATGTTAGTTAATGCATTAACTAATGTTAACTAAAGGAAGTTTATTGTAAAGCATTACCTCAGTCTGAGACATCGGGGCTTCGCAGGTGATTTCATACATAAGTGTCTCTGTCAATTTGCGCACATCGAGGACCGCAGAAATGTGCGCAGCAGCAAATTATGCAGTTTGTTGTGGCGAACAGGATCTAGCACAACGTTGATGTGTTTCTTTCCTCAAAGGACGCATCTGTTTAGCGAATCAAACACTGTACCTATTCTAATGTGATGCTTCAAACACGGCTATGGAAACCCGTTTCCGCCACTGAATAAAAAAAAAAAAAAAGGTAATTGCGACTTTTTATCTCACAATTCTGACTTTTTTTCTCGCAATTGCGAGTTTACATCTTGCAATTCTGCATTTATAACACGCAATTGATCTATCGGTAAGCCCCGCCCCCCTTAGTTACTGTTACGAACTTGGACAAACAAACGGAGTTGCTAATTGTCTTACAATGACAGCTTGTCAGTGTGAAAAAGTTGTCCCAATATGTTTTTGATTAATTTTGGACACAGAAGGACCACCATTCAAGTGGGCCTTAAATATGCCATAGAGGGATATATAAAAGATTTTTAAATAAATATGGTGGGTAACGAGTAATTTGGAAGTGAGGGTTTACAGATCACAATGCCAGCGGGAGAAGCCTCATCACGATCGCAGATGACAACATTCAGGATTCATGTACTGCAGGGTAAGATGAAATTAAATTAATTTAGATTCAATTAACTTACATTTAACCAGTTTAATATGGAGAGGCACTGAAATCTAGACCTTCATTTATGTGTTTTTGACCTACACTGCATGACGTGAGAACAGTTAGCTATTTAAGTTGGTACGTTAGCTAGTTTTAGCCATAGATACCTTCAACCCTCTACATTGTGACTAAATCTTCACTCTGGGTGACTAAATGGTTTAATATTAGCCAATGGCTAATAAATTCTCAGATTTTACTCGCCAGTGTGTGAGTTGAAGGCTAAGTATAAGTTTAGCACAGATATATTTTCACTCGCCGAACACTCTCTGACTGAGCGCTTCAGAGTTTCACTCTCCGTCAAGCGATCTGTGCAATTTTTTAGTTCATCTGAATGGATGTGCAACGCACTTGTATTTGACGTACCGTAAACTCTAGTGTGAAGGCGCATGACTCACCGTCGCTTTGTCTCACACACGCAGAGAGAGAGAGAAAATTAACGTGCTACATGTAAACTATATTCTTTGTTGTATTTTCCTGTCAAAATAACAGCATTCCTTTGGAATTCTTCGGCTTTTAAGAACTGCCGGGTTCTCCGCTAGTGGGCGGAACTAATGCGCAAACGGCAATCTCATTGGCTCATGCTCACCTATCATCGTCCCTGTTTTGATTTCAGCAAATCAGTTTGAGCGAAAGCACACAACCTGATTAATATTCATTAATTAATCCTTAGTGCGTTTTATATTGTTCTTATTAGTATAATTCGTATCATTATATTCTTATCAGTATTTTTGTGTATTTTTTTTTTACAGAAACACTGAATGACCAAAAAAGCACTACCACCAGTCCTAAGTTCAGTTAAAATGACTAATATGCATTCAAACATGGTTATCAAGTCTTAATTCTAATTACTAAAGTTCTATCATTAAATAATACTTGATTATCATATTATAATTCTCGACTGACTGATGTTAAAGTGCCCCTATTATGCCATTTTTAAGGTTCCTAATATTGTTTTGGGAGTCTCCTACAATAGGATTACATGCATGCAAGGTCAAAAAATGCTTTAGTTTTTTCAAAATATGCACTTAATACCACCTCATTTTCCAGCGATTCTCAAACGATTCGTTCAAAGCAGTTCTAAGATTCAGTCTCTAAAACCCTCCTTTCCGTGAGCCTACTCTGCTCTGATTGGTCAGATGGCCCAGTCTGTTGTGATTGGTCTACAGCGTACAGCGCGTGTCGGAGACGATATGCCCATTGCCATAGTTCCGTATTTTGAACGCTCTATAGAAAATAAAAACATCTATTATTTATCATACTTACAGGTTGTGATTCAGTGGAACAGCTGGTCCAAATAAACAGGATAATTAGCCATCTTTCAAGAGCAAGCATTTAGTGAATCCCGTGTTGAACTCCCCAAGAGTAGAGAAGCAGTCGTCAGTAAAATGACGTGTTTGTGGGCAGAGTCAAGTTGTTCGCTGCCGGCCATTTTGACAAGCGTATGGTGTGCACCTATAGGAAGAGGGAAAATTAAGAAACTGCCTGTAATTGAACATGAAAACTTACGTTTAATATTTTTAAACTTAATATATAAAGTTATAGTGAAATAAGACATTTATTATTATTATCGTTTAAAGGGGTCATATGATGCAATTTCAAGTTTCCCTTTCTCTTTGGAGTGTCACAAGCTGTTTGTGAATAGATAAGATCCCTAAAGTTGCAAAGAACCCAAAGATATAAAAGTTAAGTCGTCCACGCCCTCCTAAAACGCCTCGTTCAAACACGCCCCCACATGCCCCACATGTTGTGTGGGAAGATTTGCATAACACCGCCCAAATGTTCACGCAAAGAAAAAAGACGCACTTGTATTTGACGTACCGTAAACTCTAGTGTGAAGGCGCATGACTCACCGTCGCTTTGTCTCACACACGCAGAGAGAGAGAGAAAATTAACGTGCTACATGTAAACTATATTCTTTGTTGTATTTTCCTGTCAAAATAACAGCATTCCTTTGGAATTCTTCGGCTTTTAAGAACTGCCGGGTTCTCCGCTAGTGGGCGGAACTAATGCGCAAACGGCAATCTCATTGGCTCATGCTCACCTATCATCGTCCCTGTTTTGATTTCAGCAAATCAGTTTGAGCGAAAGCACACAACCTGATTAATATTCATTAATTAATCCTTAGTGCGTTTTATATTGTTCTTATTAGTATAATTCGTATCATTATATTCTTATCAGTATTTTTGTGTATTTTTTTTTTACAGAAACACTGAATGACCAAAAAAGCACTACCACCAGTCCTAAGTTCAGTTAAAATGACTAATATGCATTCAAACATGGTTATCAAGTCTTAATTCTAATTACTAAAGTTCTATCATTAAATAATACTTGATTATCATATTATAATTCTCGACTGACTGATGTTAAAGTGCCCCTATTATGCCATTTTTAAGGTTCCTAATATTGTTTTGGGAGTCTCCTACAATAGGATTACATGCATGCAAGGTCAAAAAATGCTTTAGTTTTTTCAAAATATGCACTTAATACCACCTCATTTTCCAGCGATTCTCAAACGATTCGTTCAAAGCAGTTCTAAGATTCAGTCTCTAAAACCCTCCTTTCCGTGAGCCTACTCTGCTCTGATTGGTCAGATGGCCCAGTCTGTTGTGATTGGTCTACAGCGTACAGCGCGTGTCGGAGACGATATGCCCATTGCCATAGTTCCGTATTTTGAACGCTCTATAGAAAATAAAAACATCTATTATTTATCATACTTACAGGTTGTGATTCAGTGGAACAGCTGGTCCAAATAAACAGGATAATTAGCCATCTTTCAAGAGCAAGCATTTAGTGAATCCCGTGTTGAACTCCCCAAGAGTAGAGAAGCAGTCGTCAGTAAAATGACGTGTTTGTGGGCAGAGTCAAGTTGTTCGCTGCCGGCCATTTTGACAAGCGTATGGTGTGCACCTATAGGAAGAGGGAAAATTAAGAAACTGCCTGTAATTGAACATGAAAACTTACGTTTAATATTTTTAAACTTAATATATAAAGTTATAGTGAAATAAGACATTTATTATTATTATCGTTTAAAGGGGTCATATGATGCAATTTCAAGTTTCCCTTTCTCTTTGGAGTGTCACAAGCTGTTTGTGAATAGATAAGATCCCTAAAGTTGCAAAGACTAAAGTCTCAAACCCAAAGAGATATTCTTTATAAAAGTTAAGTCGTCCACGCCCTCCTAAAACGCCTCGTTCAAACACGCCCCCACATGTCTATGTCACTGTGTGGGAAGATTTGCATAACACCGCCCAAATGTTCACGCAAAGAAAAAAGGTGTAAGTATTGTAGTAGTAGTAGTACTGTAGTATTGTTGCCGCCGCCATGTCGTGAAGACGCTGTGTGTTTCGTTGTGAAAGCGAAACTACTTTGTTTGGCCTTCCAAAGGTATTCAGTCAATCACAACACACTGGATAGCTGGCCAATCAGCGTACACCTAACTTTTCAGACCGATGAGCTTTGTAACAATCGATGCGTTTCAGAAAGGCGGGGCATAGGGGAGAAACAATAATGTACAGTATGTGGAAAATAATGTTTTTTGAACCTTAAACCGCATAAAGATTGCATTACACCAAATACACAAAATAATTTTCTTTTTAGTAACGTCATATGACCCCTTTAATAAATTAGGCTACATCCATTTGGAAAATTACCAACTTCTCATTGGGTGGGCAACAGCTGAAAGTGGGTGGGCCCATGCCCACCCGTAGCCTCGCCACTGGTCCAAACAGCTGATAAAAACATCACAATAATCCACAAGTAATCCACACCACTCCAGTCCATCAATTAATGTCTTGTGAAGTGAAAAGCTGCTTGTTAGTAAGAAACAAATGCCTCGTTAAGACGTTTATAACTTCAAACCATTGCTTCCAGTTAAAATATGAGTTCTCTAGTCATAATATTGCTTTCTCCAGTGAAAAAGTAGTATTGTCTGAATCAGGAGAGAAAAAGACACGGATCAGCACTGATTACAAGCGAAAACAGTCCATAACAAATATGTTGGTGGATTTTAATGTGAGAGGACAACAGGAGATGGAATTTTTCACTGGAGGAAGCGTTATTATGGATTATAGACTCGTATTTTGGCCAGAAGCGGTGGTTTGAAGTTTAAATGTCTCAATGGATTTGTAATGATAAATTTTCTCCAAATCTGTTTCGATGATGAAACAAACTTGTCTGCAACCTGAGGGTGAGTACATTCACAGTGAATTTTCATTTTGGTTAGAACTATACCTTTAACACTTCTCTCATGTTTGAAGGTATCCATTTGAGCCTCCAAAGATGCGTTTCCTGACACCCATCTATCACCCCAACATCGATAATGCAGGACGCATTTGTCTTGATGCTCTGAAGCTGCCACCAAAGGTAAAGGCTGAAAAAAAACAAAAAAACAATCCTAAATCAATAAATACAGGATTAATTTTCTTTTTGCACAATATAATTTTTACCATTTTTTTCTTTTGTTTTGAAGTAAGATAATTGTAGTGATATTAACTTACGTTGCGATTGTAAACTAGTTAACTGTCACGTGTTGATCATATATGCATTTTGTTTCAAAGGGAGCTTGGAGGCCAGCACTCAATATTTCAACATTGCTCACCTCCATACAGTTACTGATGGCCGAACCGAACCCCGACGACCCACTCATGGCGGATATAGTGAGTTTTAGATATGTTCCCTCCATTTTTGAAGGTTAAGTGTGTAACTTTTGGAATTTAAAATCTATTTCTTTGAACAGCCCATCATAACATTGGCTGAACCAGTGGCTTAATTTAGGTTTAGGATTAGCTATCTGTACAAACAATGATTTTATTTTGTGTCACTTTCACACTTCTGACTGTTATTTTTGAAGCCAGTCACTGAATAAAAAATAAAAAAGGTAATTGCGACTTTTTATTTCACAATTCTGAATTTTTTTTCTTGCAATTACATGATATAAACTTGCAATACTGATATATATATAATTAAAAATCTTGCAGTTCAAAAACCTTTGACTGGTAGTGTAGGCTGATTATTCTTATAGATAGAAACGTGCATTAACCAGGATAACGAGTATGAAACATGCTCAGAGTTGCTTCAGAAAACAAAAAAATAGAGTAACAACAAAAGCATGTTGCTGGAAATGGGTTTATTATTGAATATGCAAACTGATTGTCTACCAGCAGGAGGCGCTGTGAGAGCGGTGGAACTAACGGTTTCTCCAGTAATGGCTGTAAACAAAGCAGCTCCGCTCAAGAACGCTTCTTTATCAGATCAAATGAAAATGTCATCGAAACTTTTCTGAAGACAGTCGGTTCCCTTCAGAGATGCATT